TGTTCAGTCATTAGCCATTTTTTTGAACGTCTGTTATGTTCTAGTAAACAGGCGATAGTTAAAGAACTGGATATGTAAATCAGAACACGGGTGCTTCACACCGCCATTCTCAGATTTCCAGTCAAATGTTCAAAGGGTGATAAAAGACAAGAGAAAGTCCCCTTCAAATTAGAAACCAGGAAGATAATCACTCACAAAGGAGAAACTTAGAGGGGTTTCAGCTATAGATAAAGTAGTTCAGATCAAAAGCAAATATGACCAGTCACCAAGAAATAACTCAAATTCTCTGGGGCATAGTCACTTAGTTGGAGGGACAAGATCTGATGGCTGGGAGCATCTAAGACAGCAGGGAGTAAACCCCTTAGGCTTCAATTTGCTGAGGTGGAACATTGGCATTTGAGTGTTTCTTCATGTCTTAAATTCTGACAGAGGCCATATCAAAGCAGTAAGACTGCAGCTGGGAGGGAACAGGTGCAGCTTATATAAAATAGAAGGCAAGTTGGCTAAGAAACGAAAGGAAAGGAAAGCTGGGCCCAGAAATCTGACACCTGTACAGCACCTTCACTAAATATGGAGGGAAAAGGACACAGTCAGCATCCCTCTGCTGGACTACCCAGTGTCCACCTCATTTCTTCCTCCTCATGGGCTGTGGGAGTTGGATCTGCGAACCAATAACATAACTGATATCAAGCTGTAGTCAAGCTTGAGAGCAGAAAGCTGGGGTCTAACCTACCAGTTCATGAGCAAACACCAAACATGGTAGTCCATTGCTCACACAAAAATGAGAAGCAGGGAGAAAAATTACTGAAATGGGATTATAAAAGTATTCTATGGCATAATAAATGGAAGACAACATTCAAGATGAAAAAAAGCAAAATTTAAAAGTAACCTACTATATAGGAAATAGAAGAAAATACTAGAAAACATGTGCTTCGTGTCCCCAATAAAATTAAGAAAACATGAACTGTAAAAGGCAAAATGAGGTTAGATTACAAATTACAGAGAGGTTTACTTGGGTAAAAGGCAGCAAAAAGAAAATGAGGAGTGAAGGAGCCCAAAAGATGCAGTATGATAACTCTAATATAGAGAAAGCAATAAGGATTGAATCAACACTGCAGAAAATAAAATTAGTGATGTGAAGAATAAAATTAAAATGTTCTTGCAGAATGCAGGAAAAAAAGGGCAGATCTAAAAGATGAGAGAAATAATGTTATAAATGAATGATAAAAAACAAAATCCAATCTTACTAGTATTTCAGACAATATCAGGAAAAAATGAGACAGAAGCAATAATATAAGAAACTGAAACATGTTAAAACAAAAAAGATTCTCTAATATGGCAGATTAATGAAAGAAGGCTAACACCTCTTGAAATCTTAACATTTCAAGGGATAGAATGAATGAATACTACATGTATCCAGGCAGCGAAAAGCAAAGCTAGAAAAGTTAAGATAGAAATTTAATAAATTTCTAATTAATATTATTTATTTAATAAATAGATTTCCATACAGGGGGGAAAAACTCAAATGCCACTCTCCTCATTAACTCCAGGGTCCAAAGGAACTCAAAATTCCTGTTAAAAGACAACTTAAAAATAAATATCAATAGAAAATAAGTAAAAGATAATGACAGGCAATTTATAAAACAAAGTTAAAAGTAATAATAAGATAGCAACTTATATAGCACCTGTTCTGTGCCAGGTCTATTTACATGGCTTAAACACATTACATATGTTCACATTATAAATCATATTTACATAACTAATTGGTCAATAAGTTTATCAGAAATTCAACCTCACCAGTAATTAAAAAAATAGAAATTAAAGCAATAATAGGTTGTTTAAAAAATAAATTATCCTATTGGATTGGCAATGATTACAGCTATTGGTCCCAAAGCAAACATTCTCATTCATTTTTGTTAGTGGAAGAGTAAATGACACAACCAATCTGGAAGGGAGTTTGGCAAAATTTATTAAAACATTGTAAACTCATATCCAGTGACCCCTTTCAAATAATTCTATATCCGGAAACCTACACTAAAGAAATAATGTGGCTGCTCGAAAAGGTATGTACACCATGAGAGACTATGGACTCTGAGAAACAAACTGAAGGTTCTAGAGGGGAGGGGGGTAGGGGATGGGTTAGTCCAGTGATAGGTATTAAGGAGGGCACGTACTGAATGGAGCACTGGTGTTATACACAAACAATGAATCATGGATCACTACATCAAAAATTAATGATGTAATGTATGGTGATTAACATAACATAATAAAATAAAATTTAAAAAATTATTAAAATCAATGGTGACTTACTTTTTGTAGGAGAGGGGAGAGTTTTTAACTCTTTAACTTTTTAATGAGTATTACTATGTTATAAACACTCATTTGTAACTCATTGAAACACTCATTGAAAGACAGTGGATTCCCTGCTTCACATTAAATGTCAAGTGTAATAAGAGGATTTGAATTACAAATAATGAATCCGGAAAAAAAAAAGAAAGGTATGTACAGTCATTCCCAAGGCAAACTTTTTATAGGTCCCTAGCTTTATTTTTTTTTATTTTTAAAGATTTTATTTATTTATTTGAGAGAGAGAGAACGAGAGACAGAGAGCAGGAGAGAGAGGAGGGTCAGAGGGAGGAGAAGCAGACTCCCCGCCGAGCAGGGAGCCCGATGCGGGACTCGATCCCGGGACTCCAGGATCATGACCTGAGCCGAAGGCAGACGTTTAACCATCTGAGCCACCCAGGCGCCCTGTTCCTAGCTTTATTAATTTCTCAGCCTTTATTATAAAAATATAAATGTTGAAAATAGGAAACAACTTTAATATTTATCAATAGTGGATAGCTTAAACAAATTATGGTATAGCCAAATTGTGGGAAGTTCTGCAGCTATTACAAATGATGATATAGATTTGAATTTTATGATGTTAAAATATTACCTGAAAAGCAAAGAAATATAAAACTGCATATATAGCATGATACCATTTTTAAAAATACATATGTTCAGAAAGAAAGAGAGCAGAGGAAAAAGAACAATCTAAAAGGATATGCCTCCAAAGGTTAAAATTTGTTAAACCTGGGATGCCTGGGTGGCTCAGTTGGTTAATCATCTGCCTTTGGCTCAGGTCAAGATCCCAGGATCCTGGCTCCTTGCTCAGCAGTGATCCTGCTTCTCCCTCTCCCTCTGCCCCTCCCCTGCTTGTGTTTTTTTCTCTCTCTCTCTGACAAACAAATAAATAAAATCTTTAAAAGAGAAATTAAAAAATAAAATAAAATTTGTTAAACCTGCTAGTTGGATTATAGATGGCTTTCATTCTCTTGTTTTTACTTTTCTGAAGATCATTTGAAAAAATAACATTGTGTTTAAATTTTTAAAATTATGACAGATGGCTTAAACTGCTTTTGGTAATACATAATTTTACATTATCAAGAAATAGTGAAAATGAAAGAAATAAACATATAATTTCAACAAATTAGAAGGTGAAATAAAACTAAAGAACAAAAAAGAAATAATTAAAGGTAAAAATATATTTTAATAAATTGGAAATGAAAAAGGAACAGAATTAAAAATAAGTCTATGAGCAAGTTCTTCGGATAAAAACAAGCTTTAGGAAAAATTAAGAATGTGTAAGGATGGTGTACCTGGGTGATGGACATTAAGGAGGACATGTGATATAGTGAACACTGGATATAATATAAGACTGATGAATCACTGACCTTTACCTCTGAAACTAATAATACATTATATGCTAATTAATTGAATTTAAATAAAATTTTTTTCAAAAAAAATTAATATAATTTTTAGCACTTTACTGACAAGATTAGAAAAGATGACTTTAAGTTGTATTCTGAAGGTATATAATGATAAAATGTAAGTTTAACTGCATGTTCTCATTATATTAAGTAACATAAATATGAATGTTACTTTTGTGTTGCCTTGCAAATTATATTGTTATATTTAACATAAAGCTACTTGTCTCTATTAGGAAGTAAACTAAAGTTTTGAATTCCAGCACAAATTGTTTTCAGCTATTTATGTATGTTCTTTTTTTTTTTTTTAAGATTTTATTTGTTTATTTGACAGAGAGACATAGGGAGAGAGGGAACACAAGCAGGGGGAGTGGGAGAGGGAGAAGCAGGCTTCCCGCTGAGCGGGGAGCCCGATGAGGGGCTCGATCCCAGGACCCTGGGATCATGACCCGAGCCAAAGGCAGACACTTAATGACTGAGCCACCCAGGTGCCCCTACATATGTTCTTTTTTAATTAAAAAAAAAACAACACACATTAAAAGCTATGATTTTCTTTTTTTAAAAAAAAGAATGTGTAAGGAGACAAATCAACAGATATAGAGGGGATTTTTTTCAATTGTTAGAAATATTACAGGGGTGCCTGCATGCCTCATGTGGTTAAGCGTCCAACTCTTGATTATGGCTCAGGTCATGATCTCAGGGTCATGAGACAGAGCCCTGTGTTGGGCTCCATGCTCAGCACAGAGTCTGCCAGAGATTGTCTTCCTCTCCCTCTCCTACTGTTCCGCCACCACTCTCACTCTTTCTCTCTCTCAAAAAAAAAAAGAAAAGAAATATTATATATACTTTTATAGAAATAAACTTAAAGTGTGAATAAAAATGTTTACGGAAAAATTAAAATTTCTAAAATTGAATCAAGAAGATATAGACAACCCATGTACATCAATGATCATGAGAAGAATTTAAAATGTCGTCAAACCTTATTTTTAGAATATGGCTCTAGGCCCCTTTAGTTTTTATACACAAATTATAGAAAATTACCAAGGAACGAGATTTTTAAACTATTAGTAATTGCTTTCACAGGCTAGAAAAGAATGTAAAACTTCATACACCATTTTAAAAGCTAATATATCTTATATTGCACAAAATTAGAACATATCCCTCCCCCACAAAAAGCTCAAACTCACATTTGAAAAAAGGTTCCTATATGTAAAATTCTAGCAGAGACAAACCGAGAATACTAACCCCAATAGGAAGATTCTGAGGTGATTCACCATTCCAGAAACTCTCCTCTCAGAGCTGTACTTCTCTCTCCCTGCAAAATGAACCTCTTAAGGGCCACCTCAGCACATGATGCAGATAAATGAACTCCCACTGTGGACAGACCTCAAGCAGTTTTAGTTTCTTGTTGATCATCAACAAATTTTAATCTTTCTAAGGCAGACAAATTTCTAGGGTGATAACTTCACTTACCAGAAGCACTGGGTCTCAGTCCCTCTTTGAGAAATGCTTACACAACTAGAATTCAAACACACAAACAAAAAAAGAGATAGGCCATAAAATTCAGAGGAAGAAGATATTACTTCTGATAGGAAGAATAGGGAACAGGAAAGACAACATTTGAGTTGGTTCTTTAAATACAGTATTTGGACTTATTTGCATCATCACACAAGGAGAGGAATTTAAAATAGTCAAAGAATAAGAACCCAGGTCCAGTCAGTCATGATCGTAATAAATACATTGTCCAACTTAGGGTAGCCAGATAAGATACAGGCCATCAGATTAAACTGAATTTTAGATTAACAAAAAAATTAAGTTTAATTATGTCTAAAACATGCAGTATTTGGGAGAAACCATCACGGGGCCAGAGGTGGAATATCAGAAAGTTCAGTAGAAATGTTTTTCACATGCTTTTTGGACATTCATGAAATGTTTTGTTTTGACTTTCTTCCATTTCTTACCCCCCAACTCACTTAAAAATTCAGAGCGCACACTGGAAGTGCCCACCCAAGCACATTTCAGATACAACTAACTCTGAGATGAAAAAACGGAAGGACTCTTCTTTAGAGGCAAGCGTATGTAGGGAGGCCAACTATAGTTTCTGACAGGGCAGAGTGCACAGCAAGCTCTCAGAACTGGCAACTGCACACAGGGCCAGGCCAGGGAGTAAACTGCCAGGCTCAAGGTGAAGAATCCAGGAGCTTGGCAAAGACAGCCACATTTCCTTAGACACATGGCTGAATAGTGCGTTTGAAAAGGGAAATAGAATTGACCATTAAGGTATTTGGGATTTCTACCAAACTGTGTCCATGGCTGTGATAAGTATTTCCCAAGAATAGGTAATTTCACAGTGTAACATAGCAGCTAAAAAAATGAGGCCTAAAGTCGGACAGAGCTGGGTGTGAACCCCAATTCCATCCACCATGGGTTAAATGACCTTGGGCAGAGTGCTTGTCATCTCTGCAGACTTAGTTCCCTTTCTGTAAAATAAGAATAATTACAAGGTTATTAAATGAGATAATATATATAAAGTGCCCAGCTCATAGTAGTTACTCAATAAGAAGTAATTATTATAATATTCCATTATTTTTGATGATACCAAAAGGCAAAACAAATTGCAAGGAGAAGGAGAACTGTTGATCTTCCTAGCATTTCTTCATTCCATTGGGAGAAATCAGGGATCTTGTGTCTAGAATCAAGGTCCGCATAATCTAGGATAAATCCTAGCTTCCCCAGGTGCTCTAATGTCTTTGGAGTACTAGGATTATTCCCAGCTGGAAAAGGAAGCCAGAGTTACCCACAGAGGGGTGAGCAGGGAGGGGTGGGAAAAATAAGCTCTAGTACTTGAATAGCTTCAAAATAGAAGGATTTTCAGAGGCAGGGGATTTCTGACATTCCAAGAAGATAGTTGAGAACTATCTTTCCCCAGACGGAAGAAACTAGGTCATGTGCTCTTAACCCAATGAGGTTTAGGGTCACAGTTTAGTTGGCCTTAATTAGCTCCAAAAAAAGCCCAGAACTCCTGGGATTAATCCAAAATCAAGCAGAACTTCTAGTGGAGAGATCTAAGCTCCCAAATGTAAGTACAAGTTTCAGCAGAATGAATCCAAATCTAGGACAGCTTCTGAACAATTACCATTTAACTAGCATTTACATGTCTTAGGAACTAAATTTATCCTTACCACAACTCCTGTTTATAGAAAAGGCTCAGTTGCCACCAGAAAGTAAGCTCTGTGAAGGCATGGACTGTGTTTGCCCTTTACTGCCATATGCCCAAGGAATGGCAGAATACCTGGTACATAGCTGGTGCTCAAAAAATATTCACTGAACTAAATCACTCAAAGCCACACGATGAGTTAGTAAAGGGAGCTGGGATTTTAACCTTGGTCTGACTCTAAAAATCACATTCACCTCTAAGTCATATTACCAGCCAAGGCAGACTTAGGTCAGAAAATATCCCAAGGCAAGCTCCTGCCTTGGGTTCTCCCTATAAGCTCTCCTGGGGTCCACCAAGCTGAACTAGGAGGACTACTTGAAGGGTACCCTTGGGAGAACTTTTGAATCTAGAAATTCCGGCAGATACTGCTGGTTGCTTCTTGATACCTATTTTTCCATTTTCCTCTTGATAAAAGAATCTTGAGTTATTCAGGTGACAAATTTTCCATTTTAAAATATTCACCTCCTAGAAATACTTGGTATCTTAATTATGGTAATGATTTCATAACGAATTGTACAATTTATATACATGTAGTTTATTGTAAATAAATTATACTTAGAAAATACACACACAAACACAAAACATATACAGCCCCAGACTTCTTGTGATCCACTTCTGGCCAATGAAATATAAGCCTAAGTCTATTAGATGGAACTTCCATCAAAGCCATTATATTACTGTTTAGTTAGAATAAACATTTTATCTTTTTAGTTTCCTTTTTCTTTCTGCCTAGAGGCGGAACAGCCATTCTGAGAGAATGAGGACAAAAGTCTCAAGCTAAGGCTGGTGAAACAGGAAGCTAGAAGGAATCTGAGTTTTTGATGATCGTCTGGAGATCCTGCACCATTTTGGTCTCTTCACCTCCTGATTTTTCTCATTTTGTAAGCCAAATAAGTCTCTATTTGGTTGACCTGATATTGTATGGTTTCTTCATATGCTGTTTGCCATTACTGAATGACAATATTCCCAAGCAAAGCATAATGAAGATAACATTGCACCATTCCTCAAAAATCTTCAATTGTTGCTGAGTAAAATCCAAAGCCTCCCCAGTCCCGTTTCCTACTATTGCATTCCATAAACATGTCCTTCCAGCACCAGCAGGCTCTTTGCCATGTTCCAAACAAGCAATTTATTTTAAGATTAATGCTTTTCTTTCAACCTGATATATTTTTCTTCCATAATCTATTACAGATCCTGGAAGATTTGAAAAATTGATATAGGCCACAGTCAGCCAATGGAAGACTTGAGAAGAAAATTTATGTCTCCTGAATACAATCCAGATGCTCTTTGTCCTAAATACCCATTTCTGGAGTAGGAAAACCAAATGTTCTGCTAAGAGACCTGATTTACTCTTGGCTTTTCTTTGACGTCAAAAGCTCTCACTTTAGAAAATAATAAATAGGGGCATCTGAGTGTTCAGTACATTCAGCATCCGACTCTTGGTTTCAGCTCAGGTCATGATCTCAGGGCCGTGACATTGAGTCCTGCATTGGGCTCCATGGTCAGTGTGGAGCCTGCTTGAGATTTTCTCTCTCCCTCTGCCTCTGTCCCTTGCCCTGCTCACATGCTCTCTCTCTTTCAAAATAAATAAATTCAAATCTTTAAAAAAATGATAAATAATCATTTATTTGAAATATGTCAGAATGGAAAGGCTTATTTACAACAGCAGTCATGAGAAAAACTAGAATTTTAAGAATATATTTTCTTGTTCTAAAGTGTCTGATTATACCTGAAGGTATAGGGCTTCTGTTTTAGATATGTAATAGAACATATATGTGAATATGTTATTTTGTCTCATAGTAGAAACTCTAAAGGCTAAGCATTGTGTTCTCACATTCCCTGTGATGGCTAAACCCCCAAATTATTGACCAAAATATTTCGTTTCCAGAGCTACTTATGATGTAACTAGGAGAAAGTAATTAAACCTTCCAGTTCATCCATCTGTCAAATAGAAGGAATATTATATTTGCCATCTGTCCAGCTTTTAGGTATGGCAAATATTGATGAGAGGATCTAAATTAAATATAGGGCATTATGTCAGTTCATTTAAAAGTTGATCAGCACTGAAAATTCTACAAATCAATTTTTGTTTATTGATTGTGTTTTTTGAAGTATTTCAAGTATAACAGAAACTAATTATTTGCTACCCATATCTAACAGATGTTAATATTAGTCCATCTTTGCTTCATATTTATTTATTCTTTATTCTTTTAATAAAGTATTCCAGATACAGCTAAAGTTCTAATTCCACTCACATGCCTTCCCACTCCTCTTTCCCCAGAGGTGCGCTGAAGTTTTGAGGAATCAATTATATGCAAGACTGCATAATTTTACTACAAATGTATGCATGAGTTAATATATAGTGCTATTTTGGTTTTTAAGTCCCACATATTTTATATCATATATACATATCTTTTAGTAATTTGCTTTTTGCTTTGAATATTTTGTTTTTCAAATCTATTCATATTGACACATGCAGATTGATGCAAGTGCTTCATTTTAACTGACCAATAATAATAACCTACAGTTAATTTATCTATTCAATGACCAGTGAACAATAGGTTGTTTTTCATTTTTTACTATTCTAAGCAATGAATACCCATGTACATACAAAGAAGTATTTCTCTAAAATATGTGACTGTACTTTGAAGTAGAATTGCTGTACACTTTTATAAAATTATTTTAAAAGCCCCCTAGGAATTTTGATTGGAACAGCATTGAATTTTTAGATAAATTGGAGAGATTTAATATTTTTAGGAGTCTTTCCATCCATGAATATGGTATGTCTCTCCAAGGGCTTATATCATGTCTTTTATGACTTTAAAAAAAGTTTCATAATTTCCTGTATGAATAAAGGAAAAATTTTTGTGACATTTTTTTCCTAGGCATCTTATACTTTCTCTTTCTCTCTCTGTACCCTATTCAGCACTCTCCTTTTCTTAGCTTGTTGCTTTTTTGAATTATACCATTTTCTATATTGCATTTATACAAGGTTGTGCTATTACATACAAACTCTACTGAGTTATGTTTTTTTTAAGGTTTTATTTATTTATTTGACAGAGAGACAGAGAGTACGAGCGGGGAGAGGGGCAAAAGGAGAGGGAGAAACACTCTCTGCTGAGCAGGGAGCCCAATGCAGGGTTCAATCCCTGGACCCTGAGATCATGACCTGAGCCAAAGGTGGATGCTTACCCAACTAAGCCACCTAGGCACCCCACTACCAAGGTTTTTTAATGTTGAATTTTTGTTGTTAATTTTCTATTCATAAAATTAGCTGAATGCTATTTAAAAAGCCATTAAACCACAAGGAAAGAGAGCAAGAGAGGAAGAAAGGGAAAAAGAACTACAAAAACAACTGTAAAACAAATAACAAAATGGCAATAAGTATATACCTATCAATAACTACTTCAAATGTAAATGGACTAAATGCTCCAATCAAAAGACACAGGATGACTGAATGGATAAGAAAGCCAGATCCACCTACATGCTGCCTACAAGAGACTTACTTCAGACCTAAATATACATGCAGATTGAGAGTGAAGGGGTGGAAAAATATATACCATGCAAATAGAAGCAAAAAGAAAGCTAGGGTAGCAATACTTATGTCAGACAAAACAGACTTTAAAACAAAGACTGTGACAAGAGACAAAAAAGGACACTACATAATGATAAAAGGAATAATCCAACAAGAGGATATAACAATTATAAAAATCTTGCACCTAACACGGGAGCACTTAAGTACACAGAGCACCTATTAACAGAGATAAAGGAAGAAACTGATGGTAATACAATAATAAGTGAACCTTAATACCCCACTTACAGCAATGGACAGATCATCCAGGCAGAAAATCAACAAGGAAACAGTGGATTTGAATGACACATTAGACCAGACGGACCTAACAGATATATTCAGAACATTTCATCACAAAAACATCAGACTACACATTCTTTTCAGGTGCACATGGAACATGCTCCAGAACAGATCATGTGTTAGGTTACAAAACAAGTATCAAAAAATTTAAAAAGACTGAAATCATACCATGCATCTTTTCTGACCACAACAGTAGGAAACTAGGATTCAATCACGAGAAAAATTTGGAAAGTACAAAAATGCATGCAGGGTAAATAACATGCTACTAAACAATGAATGGATCAACCAAGAATTCAAAAAGGAAATAAAAAACACATGGAGACAAATGAAAATGAAAACACAATAGTCCAAAGTCTTTGGGATACAGCAGAAGTGGTTCTAAGACAGAAGTTCATAGCAATATAGGCCTACCTCAAGAAATATAACCTTACACCTAAAGAAGCTAGAAAAAGAACAAAAAATCTCAAGGTCAATAGAAGGAAAGAAAAATAAAGATTAGAGAAGAAATAAGTGAAATAGACAGCAAAACAAAACAAAACAAAACAAAAAACAATAGAACAGTTCAATAAAATCAGGAGCTGATTCTTTGAAAAGATCAACAAAATTGATAAAACTTTAGCCAAACTCATCAAGAAAAAGAGAAGACTCAAATAAATAAAATCAGAAATTGGAGGAGAGGAGAAATAACAATCAACACCACAGACATATAAAGCATTATAAGAGAATTATAATCTCTTATAAAATTACATGGCAATAAGTTGGACAACTTAGAAGAAATGGATAAATTCCTAGAAATATATAACCTTCAAAAACTGAATCAGGAAAAAATAGAAAATTTGAATAGACAAAGTACCAGCAATGAAATTGAGTCAGTAGTCAAAAAGCTCCCAACAAACTAGAGCCCAGGACCAGATGGTTTCATAGATGAAATCTACCAAAGATTTAAAGAGTTATTACCTATTCTTCTCAAACTATTCCAAAAAATAGAAGAGGAAGGAAAACTTCCGGATTCATTCTACAATGCCAGCATTACCCTGATATCAAAACCAGACAAAGACATTACCAAAAAAGAGAACTACAGGCCAATATGTCTGATGAACACAGATGCAAAAATCCTCAACAAAATAGTAGCCAAACAAATCCAAGGATAAAATGAAAAAATCATTCACCACCATCAAGTGGGATTTATTCCTGGGATGCAAGGATGCTCAATCTTGCAAATTGATCAATGTGATATGTGACATCAATAAGAGAAAGAATAAAAACCATATGATCATTTTAATAAATGCAGAAAAAGCATTTGACCAAGTAAAACATCCATTCATGATGACTCTAAAGTAGGTTTAGAGGGAACATATCTCAACATAGTAAAGATAATATATGAAAACCAAAAGCTAACATACTCAATGGTGAAAAACAAATTTTTCCCTAAGATCAGGAAGAAAATAAGGATGTCCACTCTTACCACTTTTATTCAACATAGTAGTGGAAGCCCTAGTCACAGCAATCAGACAAGAAAAAGAAATAAAAGGCATCTAAATTGGTAAGGAAGAAGTAAAGCTTTCACTATTTGCAGATGACATGATATTATATATAGAAAACCCTAAAGACTTCACCAAAAAAATACTAAAACTGGTAAATGAATTCAGTAAAGTGACAGGATACAAAATTAATATGTAGAAATCTGTTGCATTTCTATACACTAATAATGAAGTAGCAGAAAGAGAAATTAAGAAAACAAACCCATTTATAATTGCTAAAAAAAAAAAAAAAACCAACCTAGGAATAAATTTAACCAAGGAAGTAAAAGACCTATACCCCCAAACCTGTAAAACAGTGATGAAAGAAATTGAAGGTGTCACAAGTAAATGGAAAGATGGTCCATGCTCAAGGATTGGAAGAACCAATATTATTAAAATGTGCATACCACCTATAGCAATCTGCACATTTAATGCAATCTCCATCAAAATACCAATAGCATTTTCCACAGAACTAGAACAAATAATCCTAAAATTTGTATGGAACCACAAAGACCCTTAATAGCCAAAAGCAATCTTGAAAAAGAATAACAAAGCTGGAGGTATCAGAATATCAGATTTCAAGATATACTACAAAGCTATAGTAATCAAAATAGTTTGGTACTAAAACAAAAATAGACACATAGATCACTGGAACAGAATAGAGAGCACAAAAATAAACCCATGCTTATTTTTTCAATTAATCTATGACAAAGGAGACAAGAAGATACAATGAGGAAAAGATGATCGATCTCTTCAACAAATGGTGGTGGGAAAACTAGACAGCTATATGTAAAAGAATGAAACTGGACCACTTTCTTACATCATACACAAAAATAAACTCAAAATGAACTAAAGACCTAAATGGGAGACATGAAACCATAAAACTTCTAGAAGAAAACAGGCAGTAATTTCTTTGGTATCAGCTGTAGTAACATTTTTCTAGATATGTCTCCTCAGGCAAGGGAAACAAAAGCAAAAATAAACTATCGGGACTACACCAACATAAAAAGTTTCTGCATAGTGAAAGAAATCATCAACAAAATGACAAGGCAACCTATTGAATAGGAAAAGATATTTGTAAATGACATATTTGATAAGGGGTTAATATCTAAAATATAAAAGAACTCATACAACTCAACATCAAAAAAACCCCACAAATAATCCTATTTAAAAAATGGGCAGAGAGCCTGAATAGACATTTTTCCAAAGATGACATACAGAGGGCCAATAGACACAGGAAAAGATGATCAATATCACTTATCATCAGGGAAATACAAATCAAAACCAAAATAAAATATCATTTTACACCTGTCAGAATGGCTAGAATCAAAAAGATGAGAAATAACAAGTGTTGGCAAGGATGTGGAAAAAAAAAGGTGCCCTTGTACACTGTCAATAAGAATGCAAATTGGTATAGCTACTGTGAAAACAGTATGGAGGTTCCTCAAAAAATTAAAAACAGAAATACCATATGATCCAGTAATTCCACTAGTGGACATTTACTCAAAGAAAATGAAAACACTAATTGGAAAAGATATATGCACTCTTATGTTTATTGCAGCATTATTTACAATAGCCAAGATATGGAAGTAACACAAGTGTCCATCCATAAACGAATGGATAAAGAATATGTGAGATACACACACACACACACACACACACACACACACACTGCAACATTACTCAGCCATAAAAAAGAATGAAATGTACCCATTGGTAATGACATGGATGGACCTAGAGGGTATAATGCTAAGCGAAATGAATCAGAGAAAGACAAACACCATATGATTTCATTCTATGTGGAATTGAAGAAACAACACAAACACACAAGAGTAAAAAAGAAACAAATGAAAAAACAGACTTTTAAATACAGAGAACATACTGGTAGTTGCTAGAAAGGAGGTCGTGGGAGGATGGGTGAAATAAAGAGGATTAAGAGTACACTTCTCATGAGCACTGAATAAGGTATAGCGTTGTTAAATTATATTATACACCCGAAATTAATATAACACTGTATGTTAATTATACTTCAATAGAAAAAATAATAAGAAAAAGATAAATTCTAAAGGTTTTCTTACCTATGGATATTTTTGGATTTTCCAAATGTCCTTATCTACAGATTCCCATGGATTTTCTTTCAAGCAAACATATTAATTGTGGAGAAGTAAAAAATCACTTCTTTTTAGACATTTTTCAAACTTTTATTCTACATAATGCTGTAAATCCTAGCTGACAAAATAAAACAAGAAAATAAATAAATCATTAGTTTAAAAAATGAATTTCAACTATTAACAGGAACTTTAAACAATCATCTCCCTTGATGAGGCAGCACATAATGAATACGTACCATCTATTAGCACAATTAGCTGTTTCTGTAAGACCTGAGGCCAATAATCAAAATTAACTGTAAATACTTAAAGCAACTTTTTAAAGATGCAAATTCATTGTCATTTCCTAGTCTGCTGTTATTATTTGTTTATCTAATCCATTTGGGGTCATTTTACTAAAGACAGAGACAACCTCTTAACAGCTCTTTTCCCAAAATATCATCTTTTATTCATGAACAGTGTATATTTAATAAGATTATCATAAACATGAAAAACGTTTTCTAATGGAAACTTCCTTGTAAATGGTAAATTCCCACACTAATCCATAAAAAACTACTTAATCCATAATATACCAAAAGTAAGTACAAAACACTCTTTTAGCTATACAAACCATCCCATATAACCTATTTTTATAATGGTAATTTATAAGAAGGTGACTTTTAAGGTCCTCATTACAAAGACAAAGATTTGTGCATTTGTTGAAAAATAAAGGGAGATAATCTTGGGCCACAACCATTTGTCTACTGTTTAATTTAGACCTTTTAGATAAATTAAACTATTTTCATTTAAAATTATAATAGAAATGCTTTAAATTAAGTTTTGTTATTTTCTAGGGACTTTGTAGGACAGAAATCATAAATCCAATCAACAGGGGTTTTCTACTCTCAGTGTTCTCAAATTTAGTTACATAAGAATCACCTAGATAACTATAGGAGGTGATGGGTATGTTAATTAGCTTGATTGTGGCAATTATTTCACAATGTATGTGTATATCAAAGTGTCAAATCCAAGTCATCATCCTTAAATATATACAATTTTTATTTGTCAATTATACTTCAATAAAATGGGTAGGGGGTAAGAATCAAATAGTGACATTATTAAAATCGCAGATTCCTTCAATCTTTTATCACCCTCATCCTCAAAAGACATTGATTCACAGCTATTGTGTGGCACTGATACATTTTCATTTTTAATAAGTACTCTCCCCTCAAAATGCTGATGGGAATTGACCCCAGATCAAACTTTGAAAAGTACTTTTCTTGATAAAGTATGTACCCAAGGCTGTGGCCTATTATCAAATCTCTGATTTTTTAATCCTTGTATCACCAAGATGTACCAGATTTTTCTTTAAAGCACAATGGCTTGATTGGTACCCCTTTCATCTCCCCATCCAATCCTGATCAATAAAAATAGCTTTGGCATCCACTTACAATAAAGATTGGCATGCTGCACCAGGTTCTTTTTTTACATAACCTCCTGGTAATCTCCTCTGTTCATACATCCAGTGCCTTAGTGGTCAGCACCTAAATCTGGGTAAGTGCCAAAATTCAATATGCATTTTTTTAATGTTTTTATTTAAATCTATTCATTGTTCTTCCACAATGAATACAATAAATCATAAAGTTTTACCCAGTGTCATTGTTTTCATGTTAATATATCATAATTATTTTTAACAGCTTTATTGGGATATAATTTATGCCATAAAGTTTACCCACTTAAATGTGTTCAAGTAGGGGCACCTGGGTGGCTCAGTCGTTAAGCATCTGCCTTTGGCTCAGGTCATGGTCCCAGGGTCCTGGGATCGAGCCCCGCATCAGGCTCCCTGCTCGGCAGGAAGCCTGCTTCTCCCTCTCCAACTCCTCCTGCTTGCGTTCCCTCTCTCGCTGTGTCTCTTTGTCAAATAAATAAATAAAATCTTTAAAATAAATAAATAAATAAATAAAATCTTTAAAAAAATGTGTTCAAGTATACAATTCAATGGTATTTAGAATATTTACAGAATTGTGCAACCAAGACCATAATCTAATTTAAAAGCATTTTTATCACCCCAAAAAGAAGTCCCACATCCATTAGCAGTCACTTCTCATCCCATAGCCCCCCATTTCCACAAACCCTAATCAACCATTAATCTACTTTCTGTCTCTAAAAGATTTACTTATTCTGTGTTTTTTATATAGGTGTAAACTTACAACATGTGGTCTCTTGTGACTGACTTCTTTCACTCAGCATAACATCTTTGAAGTTCATGCAAGTTGTAGCACATATCAGTAATTCATTCTTTTTTATGGCCAAATAATATTCCATTGTATAGGTATGTAATATTGTGTCTATCCATCCATCACTTGATGAACATTTAGGCAGTTTATTTTTGGCTATTATGAATAATACTACTATAAACATTCATGTACAAGTTTTTCTTTAGACATACATTTTCAATTCTCTTGGGTATATACCTAGGAGTAGAATTGCTGGGTCATCTGGTAACCTTATGTTTTAATATTTTGAGGAGCTGCCAAACTGGCTATACTATTTTACATTCCTACCAGCAATCAATGAGGGTTCCAATTTCTCCACATCTTTAATAGCACTTGTTACTGCCTTTTTTATTATAGCTATTCTAGTAAATGTGAAGTAGTATCTCATTGTGGTTTTGATTTGAATTTCCCTAATGGCTAATGATGTTGGGCATTATTTCATATGCTTGTTGGTAATTTGTATCTTTTTTAAAGAAATGTCTATTTTTATCCTTTGCCCATTTTAAAATTGGATTGCCATTTTGTTATGGAGTTGTAACAGTTCTTTATATAGTCTGGATTTATTTTCTTTCTTTTTTTTTTTAAAGATTTTATTTATTTATTTGACAGAGAGAGAGACAGCGAGAGAGGGAACACAAGCAGG